ATCTGCCGCTGTCGTATGTCTGATGGCGGATGGGTTTTCAAGACATCTGAGCAGTCTCGCTTTCGAATCCTCATAGCGACTCCGATGGACATTATGAGCGAGTAGGATGCGAACGAACTGATGCGCATGACATTTGAGGAACATTGATGAGAATTGATGTATATCCCAAAAAATGTATCTACCTCTAGACTCTTATCCTATATAAGCCCTACCATTTCAGCGAATTCGCTGTCGTTGCAGCCATCATTTGGGAAGAGACCTCTCACGAAGAGTGCGAGCGATACCATTACTACGCCGACGTTCTTGTCAAAGCGCTGGGCTACGTATGCAAGAATGCGAGTCAGCTTAATATCATTGTCCTTGCTGAGGCGCTCCGCGATGCTGTGAGCCACTCCTCTAGCAACATGAACAGGGTGGCAATTCTCATGGGCAGAGATGAGATCCACTGCGTTTTCCAGACAGCGTGTCCGAGGTGTTAAGGAGGTGAACCCGAGATCCACTAGGCTAAGCCTGCGCAGGTTCGAATCCTGCCGCTGTCGTATGTCTGATTGCGTTTGTGTTTTCAAGACATCTGAGCAGCCTCGCCTTCGAATCCTTATAGCGATTCTGATGAACATTAGGAATAAGTAGGTTGCGAACTAACCAAAGCGCATGACATTTGAGGAACATTGATGAGAATTGATGTATATCCCAAAAAATGTATCTACCTCTAGACTCTTATCCTATATAAGCCCTACCATTTCAGCGGATTCGCTGTCGTTGCAGCCGTCATTTGGGAAGAGACCTCATATGAAGAGTGCGAACGATGTCATTACTTCGCCGACGTTCCTGTCAAAGCGTTGGGCTACGTACGCAAGGATGCGAGTCAGCTAAATATCATCGCCCTTGCAGAGGTACTCCGCGATGCTGTGAGGCACTCCCCTAGCAACATGAACAGGGCGGCGATTCTCATCGGGAGAGATGAGATCTTTCGAAATTTTCAGACAGCGTGTCCGAGTGGTTAAGGAAGTAGACTTGAAATCCTTTAGGCTCTGCCTGCGGAGGTTCGAATCTTGCCGCTGTCGTATGTCTGATGCCGTAAAGGTTTTCAAGACATCTGAGCAGTCTCGCTT